AATTGAAAAAAAAAAAAAAAAAAAAAAAAAAAAAAAAAAAAAACCATAAAGAACCCGTACTCACCTGTTTATCAAACTCCTCCTCATTCTCCATCCACATGTACTCGGAGAAGTCATTATCGGCCGTGGCTGGAGCTTCGTTCACGGCTTCGACGTTGTCGAAGTTGTACGATATACCGCCGTTCTCGTGGCCGTAGTACCCGTTGCCCGAGCCACCCGTTGGAATCTTCATTCTCATAACAATTTAGTTGCTCGTTAACTGAAACGTATCATCAAAAATACCCGACGTTGAAAACTGTGTACTTTTCACCAGCACCAGTAATAATAATGATAATAATAATTATTATTATTTAAGCTCCTCGTGTATAATATAGTTGTAAATGTGATGTTTGGATCCTGATGTGCATAAATTTGAATGTAAAATATGTATAGTCTCGGTGTTTTATTTGCGTTGTCGATTTTAACGGAACCGCGTGTACGAGGCCTAGAAAATTAAGGACACGCAACATGTAGTGATCTAAAGGCCGTAACAGGAGTTTATCATCGGGCTCGCGCCTAAGGAAACTCATATCGTTGATTCTTTGTGTTTGCGATCACACACACAAAACATCTCTCGTACGCCTGTTCCTCTGAAATTTTTCCCTGTATGAAGGGACTGAATTGTTGTGAAACAGACGTACGTACTACATTGCACTCCAAACGAAGATTTTCGCAAGAAAGGGGAGAAATGTGGAGGGACTCGTGCACTTTCAAAATAATTTATTTTATTTTTTTTTTACGGTTACGTAGAGCATGTATAATTAATTAATTGATAACCTTACACTGTATGCATAGTATACAACGGCCTGGCGGCGCCTACAAACGATACGTTGCTTCTCCCACGCAATTGTCGTCGTCGCGCCTTAGTTGATTATATTTATAATAACGTTAGGTGGGCATCGGAAAAAAGAATCAAAAGGTTGGGGGGCGGGATGGGATGGGAAGGGGCGGGGTAGGGTTACAGAGCGTGTTATCGATATAGTCTTGCATGTTGCACGGGTTGAGTATAGAGGAGGGTCTGGTGAGCTACTCATCAGACGAGGGAGTTTGGTGGAACGATGGCGGGAAGGGGGAGGGCCTCTACGATGACTTTGCGCTGATTTCTGGCGTCGTTGTCACTTTGAAGGCCGGCACGAACTCTGCTGCGTTTGGGTTCAATGTGCTCTGTGAATGGATAAGAAACATGTTTTTTTTAGTACTCTTGTAGTTTCATTCGGAATATTTTGGTAATGCTACGAATCTAATGATTGTATTTAGGGGGAGATATTATGTGGGGTTTTGTGCTGGTTTAAGGTGGCTTGGGCGATTTTTATCAGTTTTATCAAACCTATGAAATTCTGGAATCATGTAAATAAAGTATGCCAAATTGATTTAAAATAAGAAAATACTGGGGTCATCGGCTTAATTTTTTCGCAAATCGCTACTGAAAATTCACCAATTTAGCCCCTACTCTTATGGACAGTGGTCACAAAATCAACTATCTCTTTGGAAATCTTTGATTAACCTCAAAAATTAAAAATAGTACTTGCGTATTTTTTTACAGAGAATCTATCAAATTCTTAAAAGGTATAGGGTCAACGACTTAACTTGAGAGAAAATCAGAAGAAAAGTATGAAATATTAATCTGGCTTGCCTCGCAACATCTCCCTATTTTCACAATCATAATTTCACGGTACTTTTCTGGCAATTTCTTGATCTTGAACTTTGGTTTTATCAAAATAACTATATTTATTGAAAAATTTACTGTCAAAAAGTGTTGATTTTTTAGGGGCCCTTATGGCACCCTACCCTAGGTATGGTACCAACCGCCCAAGCTACCTTAATTGGAGAACATTTATCCTTAATCCTGCCTCGTCTCGAAAAACCCCGTGATCCCGAAAATTTGTCAAAAACAGTTAACTCAGTACTTTGTACTACCACTTTCAAAAAATGGGTATGTGCGTTTATAATGGAACGTTCTTGTCTCACCTGTGTTAAAATTATAACTTTACGGAAATAATTTTTATTTCAATTTGGTGACGTAAAAAAGTATGAAAACGAAGCAAACGATTAGAAAATCTAATATAAATCTTTCAACAACAATAGTAACCACATACTATTTAATTAAACATCTATTTACACGTACAAATCGATCTATTATAATCGCCACGAATCAAAATAAAATTAAAAATACTTTTGTTGCCTTATGCGTGAAATTCGATAAATCTCGAAGAATGTTCTAGGAATCCCAAGAATTTCGGGGAACGTCGAAAAGACAGAATTTTTTCGGTCTCGTTCGATAACAACGCACGTGCCTATATTTTTTACAGCCGTACGAAGGAACGGGCGAACGAAATTCAAACCTCTCAGCAAACATCATTCGGGACAAGAATGATATATAAATAAAAAGCACGGAAGTCCGCGGACGTTACGTACCTGTTTGGCAATGTCGTCGTGCACCCGTAGGCTGTTGAGCTGCTGGCAGAGCTCGGCCCCGTTGTTCTCGGCGCTCGCGCAGGCGTTCGCCCAGGCGCTCGACGCCTGGTTCCTCTCGTGCTGCCTCTCCTCCTCCAGCATCGCCTCCAGGCACTCCTCCATCAACTCCTCCTCCTCGAGCTGCTGGAGCACCTGGTACGACAAATAAGTAGCTGTTTGGTCACTCGGACGTACAATTTATTTCCTTTCGGAATCTCGCGTTTTTTTTTTCAATGCACGTCAAGTGTTTGCTAAAGTAAGTCACTACGGAGCTCGGGATGCTGATTTACAATATTTTTACAGTTGCATTTATGTCAAGTAGGTATTCAACGTTGTTGTTTCATCTTAATATGAGGGTCTCACAAGTCTCCTAAATTTGTTTTCGTGGCTGATAAGCAAAAATAATCTCATTTATTTCATGAAAATTTTATTTTAA